GTGGCGGGGCAGGCCCACCTACCAGGTGAGCATGTTCGCTGAGGTGGATGGGCAGAGGCAACAGAACATTCTTAAAACTTTGGCTAGAAACATTGTGTAGCACAAACAGTTACACTGCTCAAACAGAACATTTTATGGCAAAAACATGGAGGGGCTGCCCTGTTGTGCATTATTTCCTTATCATAGCCACGTCTAAAAAGCCCTTATAAGGCTGTGGGGAGACATTTAGACATAAGCCATAACAGCAGCTTAAGTAAGGAGGAGCAAGGGGAGCTGGACAAGGGCATTCTCACCTCTTCTAAATCCAAGTAGTCATCTTCCTCCTTAGGGCACACATTGCACAGTGAGATCAGGTCTCCCCACAGCAGTGAGTTCCTACACCTACCCAGGGCACAGCGGCCCGGAGGATACAGTCAGGCATCACGAGCCCCTTCCAGTCTGGCCTGACCACTGGGCACCCTCACCCTGGACTAGACCAGGCCGGGAGAGGACCGGACTCACCCAGGGCACCGGCCCTCCAGGGGCACAAGCTGCCCTGGCTCCGCCCGGAGGAACTCCTCTGCCAGGCAGATCACATGGGCTCGCAGGGGACAGCCGGGGTGGGGGCAACGCAGGGGGCCCTCTTCATCCTGTGGGCGGTGGCAAAGCGCAAGGAACGCGTGCATCGCTTACTGATGCTTAAGGAGCCCAAGAGCCGGATGGTGGGTAGACTGATGAGGAGGACACTTGCTACAGTTTAGGCCCTGTTAGGCAGGCAGAGTCCAGGGGAGAAGGGCAGGGACGTGCTCAGTGAGGATTCTCTATTTTAGATGGAGAGCCAGGGAAGACCTCCAGAGAGGTGGCGTGAAATCTACTGAGGAGATTTCTAGTCCGTCCCCTGCCCCTGCACCCAACAGGCAGTGTGGAAGCCGGGCCATGGTCCGCTGGCATTTGACATTGGAAAAATAACTTCTTCTACCATTAAGGCATTGATACAATCTACGTAACATTTGTTCCTTTTTCAAGGACTCTGTTTATTTGGTTTTTCTGAAACAAGGTCTCAGCTATGCAGATGAGACTGACCTGGAGCTCCTATGTAACCCAGGCTGGTTTTGAACTCAATAACATTTGTTCCTTTTTCAAGGACTCTGTCTGTTTATTTGGTTTTTCTGAAACAGGGTCTCAGCTATGCAGATGAGACTGACCTGGAGCTCCTATGTAACCCAGGCTGGTTTTGAACTCACAGTGCTGGGATTACAGGTGTGCACCACCACGCCTGGCTCAAGGACTTTGTTAAATTTGTTTGTTCTTTGACCTTGTGATGGGAGGAACTGGATGAGATAGCCAAAGATCTGATCTTCTCTGTAAGAGTCAGAAAATCCGGTCTTTGCATACAAATAGTTGCTTGGTGCTTCCTGTCGGTGTGCCTTTAAAAAGAGCTGTTTCTGTAAAATAAAGTAGACCTCTTGTCTCCACACTATTGAGTGTGCTGTCTTTTCTCAATCCTCACTCCCCAGCTCAGGCATGATCGTGTTGTGACGGCTGGCTGGACCGCCACAAAGCAGGGCTGATGGCGAACGCTATGCACACCCCACCCGGATTCCAAGTGTTCAGGCAGTATTGTCATAGCCAAGTTAGATAGAAATCAATAGGCAGTCAGGGAGAGATCGGGCCTTCAAGGGAATCAGTACAGAAGATGAGATACAACAAGACGGGCTGGACGCAAATCTGAAGAGATCCAGGCCTCAAGATGGAGGCCGGACAGTCAGGCATGCAGGTCTCAATAGGGATAAACAGCGGCTCGAAATTATACTATAATTAGCACCCCCTGGTCCAGTGAGCCCAACTAGGCCTCAGGCATAGGTGGGTACCAAAGTGTCAAGACCCGCCAACCCTTTCAAGGAACATCTATGATGCTCGCCATGTACCCTTGCTATGTGCCTCATTTCCTTATTGTTTCTGTTTTTGTTTGGGTACCGGGGATCGAACTTGGGTCCTGCACTTGCGAGGCAGGCGCTGGAACCACTGAGCTAAATCCCCAGCCCTCCTCATTTCCTTATTGGAAAGATATCAGCTAAACTTACAATCCTGTAAATTGATTGTAGTTAACCCACATTGTACCCACGTGATTTTGCTATATACACTATCCTTGGACAGAGCCTCCTCTGGATCCCTCCTGGAAATCCAGAAGCTGTACTTATTTCAAAAGAGTCGCCTAACCTCCTTTGCTTCGCGCCTTCATTCCTTAATGTTGCCAGACCACGAGCTCCGCACATACAGCAACAGCAGAGCAGATAGCTGCTGAAGAAGCGCCCGGCCTCGCCGCACCACCCTGGGGCCCATTGGGACTTTATGGGCTATGGCCCTGAGCTGGAGGTTGATTTCCGTAACCTCAGACCCCAGGGATGACTGGATTGCTAGGGCAGCAAGACACTCTTTTTGGGAAAAGCGCTCGGGGGCGATCGCGAGGCAGCTTGGAAGTCTCAGAAACGCAGGTTTCGGGCACCCTCTGCTGGAGGAACGCAGCGTGTAAATTCAGGCGCAGAACCCGGGCGGCTGTACAAGGGAGCCCCAACCAATCATCGTTTGCTCCCGCAGAGTCCTTCCTTCCTCCGACTCTGATTGGCTAACGCTGCTTAGCACGGAAACCCGATCTAGGGTAAACTCTACCGGTGTGAGGGCGGAAGTGCCTTCCAGAGACCTTAGTGAGGGCGGAAGGAGGTGCTTCAGCGGAAGTAGCTCCAGCAAGGACGGAAAATACAGTGCCGGTTCCGAGGTGGATTTTGTCCCTCTGGGCTGCCGCCCCTTGGGTTGCCGCCATGGAACTCAGCGCCACTTCCCTGCGGGATAAGCTGCAGCGGGACCTGGAGGCGGACCACGTGGTGAGTGGAGCCCTCAGGATTCATCCGAGCCGGGAGAGGGCTCCTGTGAGCCGGCACCGCATGGTCTCCATTCTTCTGCCCCGTAGGAGGTGGAGGATACGACTCTGAACCGCTGTGCTACGAGCTTCCGAGTTCTCGTGGTGTCGGCTAAATTCGAGGGGAAGCCACTGCTTCAGAGGCACCGGTGAGCCCCCGAAACATCCATGAGCACACACCCGCCACTCCCTTGCCCCCTGCATCCAACCCCCTCGCTGTTTTAAGCGGCCCAGCGCCCCCAGTGTCCTACTCATCTCCACGTGCTTCCACATCCTGGGACAGACTCCCGCCTCAGAGACACCGCCAGGCTCTTGGGTCACCCTAGCTTTGGCCACTGGGACCCAGGCCTCGTCTGCCATTTCCCAACCCCATCTCTCGCCTCAGGCTGGTGAACGAGTGCCTAGCAGAGGAGCTGCCGCACATCCACGCCTTTGAGCAGAAAACCCTGACCCCAGATCAGTGGGCCCGTGAGCGTCAGAAGTGAGGGATGGAGGCCTGCACAGCTATTAAATCAAGTATCAGGGCCAGCTTTTGTGTCAGTGTATTGTGTGTGGGAGTCGTGCTGAGGCTGACTCTAGGGCTTGGCTTCTCGTTTCGTCTCTGTCCTGCGTTTTATGTTGAAGGAGTTTCTCTCCCCCATCTGGGCTGCGTGTCTCTGCTTATAAAATGAAAGTTCTGTCCTGAAGACCTTGCCAGGGCCTGCCTAGTAAACTTTCTCTCTGTAGACCCCTCAGGGTCTGTACTTCCATTACCCACCCAATCCCCAGAGAGCTGGGGCTTCCTGCTGTCTGCCAGCCTTCCATACAGAAGAGATGAAGCAGGGTGAGGTGGTGCACACTTGCAGTCCCCACACTCCAGAGGCTGAGGCAGGAAGATTGGGAGTTAAAGCCCACCCTGGGCTACATAGGGTGACCGTGTCTTAAAGGGAAAAAAATTGTATTGAGGAGGATTAGAGCTGAAAAATAAAGTTGACCTGAGCCACAGAATTGGGTCAGGTGATGTCTGTATCAGCCTTAACCGTGGGTCAGTAGGTTGTAGGACCTTGTACTGAACACTGAGAGACCCAGGAGGGGCACCGAATGACCAGGTTCAGGCCTGGACTCTGAGAACAAGAAATGAGACATTTCAGCCATCTAGCCCACTCTGTTCTCCTGTTTTCAAGGGGAGCTCTTCAGCCCCTGAATTACCCACACCCCACTGCTCCAGCTGTTCTTCCCATCAGAGTACGAATTGGTCAAGCTGGGAGTCATATGGCCATTGGATAACTTCGGGGCCCCAGAGATCATTTCTTGGGCTTTTGGTTCTCCTTTGAACCAGAAGAACTGGGGACTGAGTCTATGCAGGAGGACCCAAAAAGGGTCCATCTGCCCTGTACTGCAGGAGACAAGAGGAGCATCACCCCTAAGAAACCCAGGCCACATGCCTGATGGGGTCCACCACTCACTGAGCTGGGCTAGGAACCTGCCCATCAGATAGGTGATCACTTGGTGAGAAGTGACTTGTCCATGGTCACATGGCTTGTGTAAAGGGGACCAAAGTGGGCAGGCAGGCACATTTTCACATCTGCCCTGTGCATTCTTTGGCAGGCCAAGGAGGAGTGAGTGGGAATGGGACCTCTGCTGGTGCCTGCGTGGTATGACCTAGCCCTGCTGTGCCAAGACACCCATTCTGACCAGTCTGTCTTGTGCCAGCCCAGGCGTTACCCAGTAAGTTAGCCCCAGGTCCCCTTCTCATAGGCCAGGCCCGGGTGAACCCACCCCCAAGAGGCAGCGGCCCCATGTTAGGGGGATACTGAACAAGAAAGGTGACGTGTGTGCTGACTCGGGGTCTGCCCTTCAGCCAGCCAGTGTCCTGCTCTGTGCCTGTCTCTTCTGTAAACCAGGGTTAGACTGTTGCATCGGTTCTAAGCTTTTTCCTTGCAATTGTTTCCTTCCTCGGCCTGCGATGTGAAAGGTGGCTAGGGTGTGAGTGCCTGTTGGTTCCTTCGCCCGAAAGCAGCACAGCCAGGGCAGCTGCGTGCAAGCTGAGGTTTTGGTTGACTACGATAAAGGCTATTTGGGGTAAATCTGGAAAGTTGTGAGGCTCAGTCAGGGTTCTAAATAGCTCAGACCTGCTGGTCCTGAGAAGGGGCTAGGGATGGAGGGCAGGCTTATGGCCCACATTAGCACAGGTGGGTCCTGCCTGCTCCCATGCCACCAGTCCTGATGGCTTTAGTCCCCCAGGCCTAAGGAGGGCAGCTCAGAGCCAGGTCAGTTCGGTAGGCCCCACATCCAGGTGGACATCATCAGGGTCCGAGAGGTATCAGAAAATAAAGCCATTTTATTATTATTTCCTTTTCTTATCTGCCATGCTGTCCTGACGAGTGGGTGTGAGTGGCTGGCCCCGGCTGAGGGCCCTGGTGTTATCTATTTGGCTTCGAGCGCCTCCTCCAGCCTGTCCAAGCGCTTCTGTAGCTCCTGCACTGTGGCCTGCAGCTTCCTCATCTCCTCCTCCATCCGGGACATGGCGTCCTGGGGGACCCGGCCTCGCATTAGGCCCAGGACTCCTCTTACCCTGGCATCTGGCCGTCCCACCTCAGAGCCCAAGAGTCCTGGGGTTTGGACCCCTTCTGTCTCAGATGCCGCCCAGTGAGCTGCAGGCCTGTAAACCTGGAGCCTGTTTTCTGAGGACTCAGGGTCACCCACTCCTGGCCCCCAAGAGACCCCCGACCCTGTGACTTTGGGCTGCCCCATGTCAGCCTCCTTCCACTGGGGCACTGCATGCATCTATGCTGGCTCTGCCCTTCCCCATTGTCCCGTCCTAGTTCCCCAGACCCCCACCCGCCTCTCACCGCACTCGGGGTGCCACCAGCTTCTGGTGCTGCCTTTCTGCGAGAGCTCTCCAGGCCCCGGTTGACTCGCAGCTCCCGGCTCTTTGGGGGTACATAGCCATCCTTGAGGGAGATGAGGAGGGGCCCAGCATCCCGGCCACCTATCCACTCCTCGGCCGTGAGGGCAGGGTCAGGGCCTGCTGTGGGGGGGTACAGGTCCTCCTGGAACAGGTCCGACTGTGGGGAGGTCAGGGTCAGTGAAGTGAGTGGTGGTGCCCCACTCACCCTGCTTGCCCTTGAGGGTGCTGCCCGGCTGACTCAGGCAGGGCATGGGGCATCACCTTTCTAGGCACTGTCATGGCGATGGGCTCACACTTCCGCTCATGCAGCTTGTAGAATCTGTGGAAACAGGAAGGTGAGCAGCGCCTGGCACGGTTGGGCAGTCAGTGTGGGGTCAGTGCTGCCCCAGAAGCGTCTGGGTCAGGGTCAGGGTCAGTCACCTGGCGATCTCACACTTGTTCACCTCCAGGCCACGCTTGGGCATGTAGCCCATGCCACGCTGGGACTCCTTGGAACTAAACATGGAGAGATAGTGCAGGAACGGGGCCTCGGAGGTGATCTCAAAGTACCGGATGGAGCTGTCACCCTGTCGGGTTCGAGTGAAGGGAAGATCAGCACCAGCAGAGCCTCCAGGCCTGGTCCTCTTCAGAAAGGTAGACAATATTGGTGTCAGGGTCAAAGAAGGGCAGCAGGACTCCGCTGCTCGTGTCCAGCTCCTGCAGTGACAGTGGCTCCTCCAGGTGCTTCTGTAGAGACAGGTGGGAAGGGACAGTGGGCTGGGCCGTGACAGGGTGAGGGCCCTCCCACACCAGCCAGTGGAGATTCTCATCTCACAGAGGGCTGAACTGGGGCTCAGGACCATCCACCAGGCGGGAGGCAGGACAGGGACCAGGCCTCGGCATCCTGTCTGTGCACTCACTGTGTCCCACAGCGCCACCTGCCGCTCGCTCATGCGGCTGAAGCCTGTGGTCAGGATCTTTCCTTCCGACACAAACACGGCATGCACGGGCCGGGTCCCCTCGTGGGGGCGATCCTTTTCCTGCAGGAAGAGGGTGGCACTCATCCCAAGGGACCAGGCCACAGCTGGGGAAGGGGGCAGCGTGCAGGGGAGGGACAGCAGTGCAAGGCTGAGGGTTGGGTTTGCAACTCACAGCCACGACGGTGCCTTTTCGGGGCTCAATGATGCGCACGCGCTTGTCGCGGCAGGAAGTGCAGATGAGGCCACCATCGCGGCTCCAGTCCACGCTGTAGATGGTGTCTGGGTGCACGTCCGGGCCCAGTGTCAGCACGGCTGCCCCGGTGCCCACGTCCCACACCAGGATCACGTTGTCACACCCTGCACAATCACACAGTGTCAGCCGTGAGCCTCCTGTCCTTGTGCGCGCCAGCCACCAGCATCCCCTCCCCATGTGGCACCTGCACTGAGCAGCACATTCTGGGCCGTGGGGTGCCAGGCCACGATGCCAACGCGCTTGGTGTGGCCCTCCAGGGTGACGACGGGCTCCCTCAGAGGCACCACCAGACCCCCATCGGGGATCTCCCACACCTGCAGTGAAGGAGGGTATGAGTCCTCAGGGCTCCAGACCCGCCGGGTACCCCAGCCCTGCAGTCCCCCGAACTCACCATAACTGTGCAGTCCTCAGAGCCGCTGGCAATGACATTGTCATTGTGTGGGCACCAGGCGATGTCCAGCACAGGAGCCGTGTGGCCACAGACCATAGGCACATTCTTGTCCACTCGTCCTGTCTACAGGGTACAGCAGTGCCTTTGGCAGAGGGGCTTTGGCCCTCCAAGCCCAGTCCACAGGAGGTGGCTCTGGGGTCCCAGGGAGGCAGGCGAGGGCCCGGGGTTTGTTCTCTGTCCTGGGCCCAGGGGGCCTGGCCAAGTTCCTGCCTGTCTCTGCCTCCGTCTCCCATGTGCTCTGAGGACCAGCGCCCCACCCCCTAAGGGGTGCAGCAGGCCAGACCCTGCACCCACACTGGCAGAGGAAGGCGCTCCAGGGAAGCAGGGTGAGGGGGGGTGTGTGTGTGAGGGATTTGGTGTGCCAAGTGGAGAGGGCCAGGGAGGTCTGTCATAACTGCCCCAGGCAGGAGCAGAAGTTTGGAAATGGCCCCTTCTGGGGCCGCCTCTTCCGCAGGGCTTCCTGTGTGAAGAGTGTGCAGGGCGAGGGCCCAGCTCTCACCCCAGCAACCACTTCCTCTTCTTTTTGCTTCCATCGGCCCTTTTAAGGTAACAACTTAGGGCCTGGCTCCCCTTCCTGTCTCAACCCCCAAAGGGCACAGGACTGTCCCAGGTCCCAGGTGG